AAAAAAAAATCTATGTAAGTGTTTTAGAGCTAAGTTGATCATCATATATTACTTAGGCAGTTATGATTAGTTTTGAAAATGTTAATATGCTATAACATTATTTAATGTTGTCGTGAATGTAGGAATTTGTAGTGTCATCTATTGTTGGAAGATATAGACTTGTTGGTTTGCATATTCTATGGTAAAAGAGTATTAAAAATTTAATGTTTTACAGCATTTTATTGCAAAATGAAATAGTTTATGTAATTGTGTATTTGGAATGTTTGTACTTGGCATTCTTTGAAATTTGTCAGTCTTCACAGAGAATATTCTCTGGGTTTTATTTTCATTACTATCTTGCATTTGAAACCAGACTCTATTTCAGTTTTAGACACCGAGGAAAAGCTTGCAGTGATTTACTGTACAATAGGGAAGAAACCAAATTTTTGCTTGTTGGATACAGTTAATTTTGATTAGAAAATTCTTCAAAGCTGCACAGTAATTTGAGCCTGAGTGTTGTCATTCCTAAGCAGTGCTGGGATCTGCTCCACTGATTGAGAAGCTTGGGTCCATTCTCAGGTTCTTTCCTTCACATCTTTGTGGTGCTTGAAAAGTAGTCCTGGCCTTTACTTACAGCAGAGTGACATGAGGCGTGCAAGGCATCTGTGGTGGAAGGGGCGAGTGGCTCAGAACATCTAACTGCCATTCCTACCTTTCAGCATTGATGCAAAAGGAAACCTCTGATGAGCAAACCTGAAAGAGCAGATGAAGAGACAGGGATTTTCTCACCCTCAGCGTGCCTGCGAGCGGTTGCCTTGGGAATTGCAGTGGTAATTTTTTTCCTGAGGAAAAGCTGAGACCTGTTTCCTACCACTGTTAGAAGCCCTGAAGAATTGCTACAGCATATCTAGAGCTCTGTGGCCTCTGGCTGCCACAACAGGTGACATTTGAATGATGTTTTCTTAGTGTTATTTTCCTTTTTTGCAACTGTTTTCTGCATTGCCACACTACATAGGAAAAAATCTTTGTCAAAATGGGCCAGTTTTACCCCAGGAGTGTTAATCTGCCTTGGAAATACCTCTAAACCCCCTTCCCAAGGGAAGAAGGAGGGATGGTCTGCAGGGACAACATTGCAGTCACACTGTGTGAGTACCTCAATCAAGTCTAAGTGGGAGGGAGCACAAGAAACAGCAGTCACACAAAGTTTGGATGCTGTTCCTGCCCTCAGTAGGTTGTATGCAGCTGGAGCTGAATCCCTTTGGCTCTGTTCTGTCCATGGACCTATACTGGGCATTCCCAGGGGTTTCAGGCACAGCGTCCTCCACTGGAACTGAGGGAGATGCTGGAGGAGTTCAGCTCATGCCTTGTCTGGGCTGTCACAGGATGCGAAGAAGAATTTCTTTGGACACACACTTCATCATCTGGATTTTTGGGGCACTCCTGCATTTTGCTGCTGTTGCTGTACAACAAATAGCCAGAAGATTTTATCTGTGGGAAGAAGGCAGTGACTATTTACATCAATAGGTACATTTGCAGGATGCTGACATGATCAGAAAAAATGCAGTCTAGCTAAACCCTTTTTAAATGAGGCTAAAAGTGAGCTATGTTGCCCACAGCCATCCATTCCAGTCTTACTCGCTCTAATTTGGTAGTGGTGCATTCCTGCCTGTCCCTTCTTCCTCCACTGCAGTCCCCACATAGGCAGGCATTCCTTTGGCTCAATTCAAATCCCTTCAACATACCCTGATTTTCAGACATGAGCACATCATGACCTATGCAGCATTGTGCAGCTCAGTATACAAGGTCCATGTGGAAAAGCAGAGAAGCAAAGCCTAAATAAAGGTTTGTGGAAAAAGGAATCATCCAAGAAGGAAGAGAGCAGTGATTTCCAGACAAGGCTTCTCGAACAGTAATGCTTACATTAAACTGTATTTGTTTAAAAATATAAGCAACCTTCAGAGCAAGGACCAAAACTTCTTCCCATGTTCCAGCAGAATGCCCAGAACACTTCCTATTTTAGTATAAGAAGATTGGGCAGTTTGTGTTTTTTCTTTTTCAGTATGTTTTCTTCATAAGAACAGAAGTGTAAACTTTGAAAAGTTGCTCTGTTTCTTTACCACTGACAGCATTATTTTTAACATTTAAAAATAACAATGCAAGAAGAAATAGCTATATCACAGAATGATTAAAATAACTCTAACTGAAAAATATTCTATTTCTGTATGGCAAAATGGCTTTCTTGTGACAAATTAGCATTGCTGTTTTGCTTGGGTAAGTCACTTCATAAGAAAAATATAGCATTTAAATATAGAATAATTTACTTTTAAATTACAAACTGTATGTTTTAGCTTTAAATGAATGTACAACAATCCTTCATTGCCTCACAAATATATTTTTGTTTTTCCTTCAGTTTGCAACTCACAAAATATAACATTTTGGAAATAGCATCCTTCTTTTCTCTTACAGCTCTATAATAAGAAGAATAGCAAGACACAATTCCACAGAGATATAACTTGGGAAGTTAAGCAGTTTGAGACCTTTCAGATTGTTTTATTTTCCCCTGAAATTGATTTTGCAATCAAAAATGTCTTTGTTGTAATCTTGTTTATTTTTGAAAAATGTACATGGAATCCTATTTTCCTGAATATGGTGGAAAATAAGAAATAGGAGACACATCTTTCATCTGATAACATTTTACTCTGAATTCTTTTCTTTGGACTGCTCTCTGACTTATTCTCTTGCTGTTTCCTGTGTTTTCCTTCCAGTGTACACACATGCACACAAAGTAATTTCAACTCTGGTTATCTATTAATACTTAATCTGAATTTAGAACACAAGTCCTGTGAGGAGCAGCTGAGGACTTTGGGTTTGTCTAGTTTGGAGTGAAGGAGGCTCATTGCTCTCTAGAGCAGCTTCCTGCAGAGGGGAAGTGGAGTGGGATATTCTGATTGCTTCTCCCTCCAAGGAGTGATAGGACAGAAAGGAATAGTTTCAACCTGCACCACAGGAGGTTCAGACTGGATTAGGAAGCATTGCTTCTTGAGAGGGTGATCAAACACTGGAACAGGCTTCCTAGAGAAGTGGTCCATGTCCCAAACCTGTCAGTGTTTAAAAGGCATTTGGACAATGCCCTTAACAGCATGCTTTAACTTTTGGTCAGTCCTGAACTGGTCAGTCAGTTGGACCGGATGATTATCCTAGGCCCCTTCCAACTGAGCTATCCTATTCTAAGGTTCCATTGCTGTCTACCATTAGTGAAACAGTCAGAAATTTTATTGCTTCCTTCTTTGGCTTAATGAAATAGCTGGCCTTGCTAACCACATAAGCTTTCTAAAATATCTGGTCCTATATCAGCTAAAGACCTAAGAATTATAAGCCATTCATCTTCCTGCATAACAGCTGAACTGTGACAAAACATTAAACTTAAGCTTTTCAGTTGAGATATTTGCCTTCCTTATGTTTTAATGGCACTTGGGGCAACCAACGAGAACAAGACTTGAGTGTGCACAATGCTGATTAATAATAAGTTATGTCGTGCTAAGTTTCAGAAAAAAAAGACTCTCATAGGAAAAAAGTAGTTATTAAACATGAAATAAAAAGACATGAGAGTACTCTAACTCCAAATTCAGAACTTTTTTGAAGAAGCTCATCTACAAACTTTAACTTCATTTTTAGCATTATGTTGAAATTTTTTGCTTTGGTTTGTAGCAATAGATGAGCCGCTGTCATAAATATAGAGAAACTGTTGTGTTTTTTTTAAATCTTATAAATGGCTGAAGGCAATTTAATAAAAATATAATTCTCAACTGTTTTGATAAAAAACATCTTAGCAGGTTCTCAGTTGCCAAGTATTTTTAATGTCATTCTGAGATTGGATATAAGTTTGATTGAGTTGATGCTTCACTCAGAATAAAATTACAAATCTATAAGCACATTTTAGATCTGCTAGCTCAAATAATTAGGTGTCACAAGGCAAAACACAAGTCAATGAGGAAGCTGAGTTTTATGGATCAGATGTGTTCATAACTCTATGGGGGCAATCCACTCGACTGAATACTGCATGTGCATAAGATCCATTAGAAACACTTCCATATACTGCAAATATATTTTGGAATGTTTTAAGGTATGTAATATAGGTGTTGAAATGTCTAATACCATTTGCAGTATTTCTTGTATTATATGGCTACAGCTTATATTGGTTCCAAAGTTCAACCATACCTCCTCTTGCATACTGATTTCCAAATTTGAGAGCACTGTTTATATTTGTCACTATCTGATGTCTTGAATTGTTGGAATGACAGCTGAAGCCATGTATGTATTCATGCTTGATTGGAGGAGATAATGGCAGAGAGCCTGGGCTGTAGAAAAAAAGAGGAAGGTACAGAAGGCTGCCTTGGCTCTGCTTGGCAAGTGTGATGCCTGGATAAGACATTAATGTCATTATGGTTATGTATTCATATATTGACAAATGCTACTTTGTGCATACATCTTACAAATTGAACATTTAGGAAGAACCAGAATTAGTTTTCGAATGTTATTTGGGGTAATTTGAATTATTTCCACCCCTTCTCTGTAATTAAAAATGAGAAATGAGGAAAACTACTAAGAATAAGTTTTGAGAAATTAAAAAATTATAAGGTGTATGTATGTCTTTTACTGGAATGTCCAGCTTTACCCACAAAGTGGCAAGTGAAAACTTTCATTGGCTTAGCTTAAGAACATGAAGTTACATGCTCATATTTTTCTAAAATTGTGACTTTTTCAATACTCTCATTTGATACAGTTCAAATTAGAGATGCTACTAAGATGATACACTGGTATGGTAGATTACCCATGGCTAACAATCTCCTACCCTGCTGCTCTTTCCCTGCTCCTCCTCAGTGGGACAGGATGAAAAAATAAGAAAACAACTCATGGGTTAAGATGAGGGCAAGGAGATTGCTCACCAATGACTGTTGTGGGCAAACCAGCTTGACTGGGAGAAAATTAGTTAATATTAACAATTAAAATAGAGTAGGATGGTAAGAAAAATAAAGAAAAAGTAAAGCCTCATCCACCACTCTCATCCCCCATTTCTCAGGCTTCACATCATTCTTTCATTCCCAACTCGCTCCTACCCCCAGTCTGGTGCAGAAAGAATGGGGATTGCACCCAGGCCATAAAAGCTTCTCTTTCTCACACCTTCCTCCACTTAGTTTTCCTCTGCTCCAGCATCTGCCCTTCCATGGACTGTAGTCCTTCAGGGTAAACTTGCTTCTGCATGGACTCTTCAGGGGCTGGCTGCAGAGTCTAAAGGGAATAGGATCTGAGATTAAAACTTCTGCAAGGGTTTGAAGATAAAAACTCTGAGATAACTTTTTATGCGAGCAAAGCTACAGATGATGGTGCCATTTTGTGGTGATCTCTGTGGGTCTAGTATTCAAGAAGGTTATAAATTAATGGGGGTGGGAGAATTTTAACACATTGACTCACTGGTATAGTTGGCATTCCTTATGATGCTATGATTTTATTTGGATACATTAAGTTTGTTTGTTTGTTTTAAATAAATGAAGACAGAAATTATGGGCAATGAATGACTGTCTAACTCTAGTCTTGGGTAGACCTGTAACAAGGAAGGGTATTATCTAAACCCAGGAGGAAAGACACTTCTGCCTCTGAAAAAAGAATATATGTTGAAAATTGGAAAAGGAGACACTTACCAGCTGAAGGACTTACATAAATGCCTATGAGTAAACAATTATTCACGGTCTCTAAAGATGGCTAATGTCAGAGCTCCGGAAGCGCACATTATTCATTGGAAGAGGATGTTTCTGCAAGATCAGCACTGTCCATTTGTTCAGTGTGGGATGGTTGTGATTAGGCTGCTATTTTCTCTATTGACTTAGAAAAAGTTAGTTTGGAGAAGTATTTTAGCCAGTAATATGGTGGGACACAATTGCCTAAGGATCAGAATCAGACTGAGATTTCTTTAGCTACAAGGAGAGATTGTCTTTGTTGCTTGTCCATTTATTTCTTTTAATACATGATAGTGACTCATGAAATCCATGCAGTGGCTCTTGTGGAATATCAGTGTTATCCTTCCTTTCCTCTTTCAGAGTATGTAGCCATTATGTTGCCCTCACTGGACATGTGACAAGGGATATCTGCTGTAGTTGTATTCTACAAAAGAGACGATAAGATGATATTGTAAGCTATCTGCCAGGTTGTAGAATTTAATTTGCAAGACCAAACTTCCACAATATTGTGTTTATGTTGCAGTGCCATTTTCTGTTTAATAGAAACATTCAGAATGCTCTAGTTCCATCTGTTATAAATAGCGAAAGCTGATAAACACTGCAAACACAAGATGCAGATTTGTGGCAAATTATGTTTAGTACGGCCCCCAAACATAAAGCAAGATTTATAATTTTTGCATTGCCTTTTTTTTTTTTTTTAATTTACTCTACAGTAATTACTCCAGAGTTTTAAGTACACGCATAAATAACACTCAAAATTTTACATTAACTTATGGTGTGAGAAGATAGGGACAAGTATATGCACACACACATAAACACATTTCACACCTTCAGTTGTAATGCAGTTACAAGTCTTGTTATGGCTGGAGAATCTTTGATAAAACTACATGCAAATACATTTTTTATCATGTCAAGAAATTTGAAAGGGAAGTCCACAGACTATTATGCATTGTATGGAAAAAAAAATCTTAGTTTTCAATTAAGAAGATGGAGATGAACCAGATGAGTAGGAATAGAATTGCAAAGGGCTCTGAGAGGAATAGCCGAAGATGAAACTACTGCTGTTTCCTGTTCTCAGATGAAACTGTGTAGCAACAGAGTGAGTGACTCATTCAGAAAGACTGCTAGAAGATGTGGGTGAGCTGTTGTAGCAAAGGAAGATTCCTGGTAATGCTGTTTGCCAAGAATGGAAACAAAGCCATTATACACAGTTAAAGAAAATCTAATTTATAATGTGAAACACCTCACACAGTCTACAAAGACACTTGAAAAGACAGAGTTAAAATAAGTTTATGTCTTCCTTTGCTCAGGCTGGATTCCAGCAGGTGACTGATGCATCCACTCAAAAATTGGAAGAAAGATTTTTTGTTTGTTTTATTTTTGAAGCCAAGATATTTCAAAGAAATTAACTGGAGAAATCTCACTGCAGCCACTACTACTTATTAAGACTAGTGAATATTTCATCTGCTGCAGAAAATATTTGTTTTTCCAGTCAAGTTGCCCAACTTTGACTTAGTTGCCCTTTCCAGGACATATTCACACCACTTAAAACTTCTGTCTGTGACCAGATGATCCTACAGACTGGGCCTTTTGACAGCTGAGGTAAAACAGCTGCTTTTGGAAGTAGCAATAAAAACTTCTGAGATTACTCTTACATATCAAACTCCTCAATTATAATTGATCTTGGAGTAATTAACTGGAGACATATTCTTTAAGACAAGAAGTATATTTCAGAAAACAATTTTCCCAGGGTGTCATCCCTGTGCAAGACATTTCTTCCATATCCACAGCCTTAGCTGAGCAACCCATACTGCACATATATTCACAGTTTGATATTCTGTTTTCCCCACTGTTAGAAGTAATGAGTTCTCCTGTCAATACAGGGACACGGCTTTGATGTGACCCTCAAACTGGAGAGGAAAACAGCAAAGAAAATGTGTATATTCATAACCTACTGGCCAAAGTAGCTGTTGTTTAAACCATTAATGTGTTTATTTCTCACTTTTTGCTGCAATAGAGTATGTTTGGTTTCTGCAATAAAAGTCACATGAAAAGGAGAGATGTCCTTAACCCTTAGTGTTTGTCTGCCAGTGCCCTAAGAAAGCTAAGACCCTTGTGTCCAACCACTCTGTCAGCATCCTGTTCTAGGGTCTGACAATCAGTCACTGAGTGATCCTGCTGGATCTGAGGGTGGTTTGACTGATTTATTCAGGGACACACATAGACACCACAATGGAGACTCCTCAGTGAGTCTTCCCCTCTATTCCAGTGTTTCCCCTCTGCTGGTGATTGCCAGAACACCTGAAGGATTCACACCAAGAGTTTACAGAATAATGCACTTTATTAATATAAAATTTTATATTTATATTTTATGTGACAGGTTAAGGTTTGAGGATTATTTGTGATGGTATTTGACTGCAGAAATATATTCAAAGCAATGTACAGACAAATTCTAATCCACAATAAAAGTGTTCAGGACACACAGAATGTGGTTCTTGTCCCTATGAGTGAGAGAACAGGTTCAGCCCATCAACTGATCCCAGCAGTTACTATGGAGTCTTCCCTAATTTTTCTCCACTCTCAATGTATTTTTATAGTATTCCTTTATGCTTAGGTGGAGCTTGAATAACTGTAGTCATATAGATGTTTGTTACTGATTGGTGCAAAGTCCCTTGCTTCACTCTTAAGGGTATAGTCACTAAAATGTAGACACTTGCTCAGTGAGGGGTGGTCATACCTTGGGGGAGGTAACTTTGGGATGGAGCTGTGTGTTGTATTATAATTAGGCTGTAATGAACCAAGTTCATCCAAGGAGAGCGAATTCTCCAGAGCTGCTGGCTTGGCAGCAAGACACCTTCTCCTCTCCCCCTTGATTGAGAGCTGCCGTGGGGTTTATCAGCTGCAAAGCACCATTGACTTCTCTTCCCTGCAAGGGTTTCAACAGACCCTTGGCCACAGGGTTTAACTCTGCTCCTCCCTCCATTCCATCCCCCTCAGCAGGTGCTTAAGGCTGGAGATTGAGTATGTGGGGAATCTTGGTGGAATAGGTTTTGAGCATACTGATCACATTCCATCCAGGGCACAGCAGCTGCATTTTGCCATATAATTTCTGTACCATTACAGCTTGTGTTAGGTAGGATGTGATTATAACTTCTCTGTTGCCTCTAATTTTACCCCCAGTCATCTTTCCACATAAGGCATATCTAATCAGAACATATAATCAGAAAGTGTCCTTAATCTGGAATACAGTAAAGTGTCAAGGAAAAAGATTTCTTTCAAACAGACAGAAGCCTACAAAAAAGGCAGGCCATTTATCCCTCTGGCCATTATTTCTTTAAATTCTGGTTTTAAGTGTGCATTCTTCTTATTCCTTCTTTGTGACCTTTCTCATAAGGACAGGCATTTTCTTATCTTTTTCTTCCTGGAGTCAAGTTAATTTAATTTACTGATCATATCAAAGGCTTTATTCTTATGTATGTATTTCACTAGATTAGTTTAACTGGGTGTAAAAGAATGTTAAGTAAAGATAATAGGATGATTATTTTGAACACAACAGGTACAAATTAAGTTGTTAACCATATTATATACCTTGCATTGCTTATCATGTCTGATAAGCAAGCTCAATAACATTATGCTTTGGCACAGCATGTAGTTTCATCAAGAACATAAGTCTTTGGACCAATTTTTAGTCACAATGAAAACAAAAAAGAGAGATGATGATTCAGAAATTAGTTTTGCCCATGGTTCTGCTTCTTCTCAATCATCTGCTCTCCATCTGCCTTGGAAGAAAGTGTTTTATGCAGGGGCTACTACAACATTGCTGGAAATTATGGCATGAGGAACTAAAACTTGTCTATTTTGTAGTACTGAAATTTATGCTAGTTTATCATATCAGGCTGAAGTGTTAAGAGAAGTAGTTTAGTTCATGCAGGAGAGACAGGGATGGCCAAGACAAGCACAATGGATGGTTGGATGAGATGGACATTTAGCTGTTGTCTGCTGAATAGCATTTTGTTTGCATGAACCAGCACCCTGATAAAAATCCCTGTTCCTTATCAAATATCATATAAGATCTTGTGCAAAGAAAGGTCTGCATTTCAAGCATAAATTACAGCACAGCTTCAGTTACACCACTGAGTTAGGCCAGCAGACCTAATTAATTAGTCATAGAGCCAGAGTCATGTAAACTGGAATGAACCTTTCTCTGGTGGATCTGCTCTGATCCACCCCTCAGAGTAGGTCTGGCAGGTTGATCAGAACACTCAGTTAAGCTTTGAATATGTCTAAAGATAGTGGTTCCTAATGGTGGAGATACCTGTGGCTGCTTACCCTCAGTAGGAGTAATTGTTTTTTCCTCTCAATATTTTACCAGAAATTCCTTTGTAGCAGTTAGCTCTCACTCTGCCTCACGTTTTCACTCTGCACCTTCAAAGAGAGTTCAGCTACATCTTCCCTACACCCCCCCAATGGGCTTTTTAGACAATGAATTCCCAAACCTGTTCCAGGCTAAACAAACTCAGTTCTTTTAAGCTTGTCCTCATAAGTCATGTACTTCAGGTTTTAATCACTAAGAGCAGATAAATGGTTTATCTAAACTTGTGCGTTGAACATCGAATAGAGTTCAACCCTTGGAATTCCAGTCCTAGACATATAGCAAATTTATCTTTGTGTTCAGGAGACAGAGGAGCCAAAGAAAATTACAATATTTATCTTAGATGCATGTAAATTGGCAGGATAACCTAATATCTAAAGTGTCTAAATTAATTGCTGTGGTCCTTAGATAAATTAACAAAGGCATATTTCTATGCTTATATATGGCATTACTTCAGAAAGGAGTAAGGAATAACATTATTTTCTTCTGTCTGGTATTTAAAAATACATACCAAATACTTTTAGTTTCTTCAGAATCTTTCTCAATTTGGTAAGGTTTTGAAATCCATACCTTAAAGCCAGAAGAAGTTAATGAGTTTCATTTAATAAGTTTAGGCAACAGGAAAGTCAGGGGTTATTTGATTTGTTTGTCCAGTGGGATGAGATAGATCAGAGAACAGTGGAATCAGTAAGATAACATAAAATTAAGTTCTGTAGTTGGAAGACAAATATACCAATTCAAGCTAATATAATGTACATCATTTTAGAATGATGGCAATTTAAAATCAAAACAACTTGCCTTGGGAATTAAGGAATTTATCACAATGTGAAGCCTTTAAATTATGACTGTGTGTCTTCCTAAGAGACGATCTCCAGCCCAGTCAGAAATTATGGGTCAAGAATTATCAGGTGAAGTATTGTGACCTCTATTATGCAACAGCTCAAAGTAAACTGTCTGCATAGTTATTTCAAGTTTTAAGTCTGTGGACCCATAAAATAGAATCAAAGTGATGTCCTCCAAGGTCAATCCCCAATGGCTTTGTAGACTGGAAGAAACCCTTTCCTTCTGTGTTAGGTACTGCCATCCTCTCCATTTTACAACTTTCTTATTGCCTGCATTCATTTTTTCAATAGCGGTTTGAAAAGATTAATATCTTCTTTTGGTATTTCAACCTGGGTTGTATCTCCTATTGCAATTAACTAGATTTATTTTAGGGCAGTTTCTGACCACTAAGCATAATGAAAATGAAACCCATTAAATAATCTTGGTGGATTAGACTCCTTAAAAACATATCACTTTCATATCCTTTGAATTTATATGTTATTTCTTGAATCTACTGCATATGAGAATCTACAAAACAAACAAAATTGATGCATATAACTTCAGAAGAGAACAGTGTTCCAAATCTAGGAAATAATTTGTCTCTCTATTATTGGAGACTTGTGGAAGCAGAGAAACATTTAAATCACCCATAGAAAGCTCAAAGGGCAATTATAAGCTAAAACTTCTGCACTTTATCTTTCAGTTCCTAGTCAGAAAAGCATTAGGTTTCAATTTGACATGGTTTTCTCCAGTGGAACTCCTCCTGCTTTGCAGGGCTTGTTGTTCCTGGAGCTGTTCCTTCACTGCTGGAGTACTGTACCATGTGCATTCTTCTACCTCCTTACACAACAGATAGCAGTAAATCTCCAGTCTATTATCCTAAACCCTTTTTTTTTATAAAGCATAGAAATAAGCTTTCCTTCAGTAAGAGATCCTTTCTCAGCCTTCCAAAAGCAACAACTAAGTTGAGAAACCTAAAATAAATTGCATGCATGTTCTGTAGAAAGCCTCTAAACAAATAAAACTGAGAGACACTTTGTAGCAGTAATAATTTCTTACTTGCAAGTGTTTCAGCAGACTCCCACAGCAGCAGGTGTTAAGGAAGTATCCATCTGTTCTTGTTTCTCTGCACAGAAGTACATTGAATAGATAAGAGTTTCTAAATGTTCAGAGTTGTCATTAAAATGGGTTAGCTGTGATCGTCACTTAAGGCATTCCTGATATTGAAATTAAAATGAAGACAATCTCTGGCTCTGTTGCAATTTGAAAATGCGATCAATGGTTCCCTGAAGAAACATCCTGTCAACTGAGTGCTTTTTAAATTATCTTCTGAAAACCACTTCAGTATTCCTGTGACTGAACTGGAAGTGCTGTATCAGCAACATTACTGTTCTCTGAAAATATGGATCAAACCCCAGCTGTTGCAGATATGTTAATTGATGAATAAAGTTAAGAGATCTGAAGCCTTTATACTACACTTGAAACTTATGTTTCTGTTTAAATATTGAAGGCTTTTCAGCTTTCTCCTCCAAATGCAAAAAAATTACTTGAGTCACTTCTAAGGAAGTCTTCAGAATCTCTAAACTTTAATGCTACAGCATAAAGACCAGAGGACTGGAGCTTCATCAACACAGCAGTGAAATCAGCATGAGAAAAAGGAGATAGAAAACAAGCTGTAAAAAAACGATGTCAGTTTGTTTGGAGTTCCTTTGGACAGAAAATATACTGGGCAATAGTATAAATGAATCTACGAAACAGCTATGAAACTTCTACGCACTCCAAGGTGTTTTTATACCTTAAGTGTTATATAAGCTACTACACTATCCTATATTCAGATCAGAAAATGGATCTTGGCAAGCAGTGTGAAAGTGTTAAGAATGAAAACTCCCTCTCTGCTCTTTCAGCATTGTATCCTACTCAACAAAAGGAAACAAAAGGAAGTTTTTGCATGTAACACATGTAACAATTTAATATCTTTATAATTAAAGCTAAAATAATACCAACTGAGGTATTAAGGCTTCACATTAGTTTGCAATTTGTGAAGTCCAGTAGCTTCCAACTAAGAAAACACTAGCAGTACCTTGCTTACTAAAGTTTGATCTGTTCATTATTTTTTCACTTTCTATATTTCTCTGATACTTTCTCCTCTCAAGAAGGCACATTGCCTTAAGTAATTTTGCTATTTGTATGTGAATTACGTGGTCTGGATACTTGGTAGGCAAATATTCTCATACCTTGATGGAGCAGTCCTGGTAGTGTCAACTACAACTTTTTACAGCTGAATCAATCTCCAAAGCTTCTGGATCTCAGCTTTGCAATCATCAGTTAAAAAAAAAAATAAAAAATGCAGACCTTTGCATCTCCCAAAGAATCCCCTCAAACAATTAATAGTTGGCCAGCCTTCAGCTGGTATGGGATCTTTCCAGATTTTCAGTCCAATCCTAAATGTAGTAATAAATATAAACTTCACACTGAATTTTTGTAGTTTATGCAATCTTTTTTTATTCCTCGGTTGTTATCTTTACTGTGATTGTTGGATGTACAAAACTGTGAGTAGAGGAAACAGGGTTTTCTTTTAGAAAATAGTTTATTTGCAATGTTACAGCTGAAAAGTGGTAAATTTTTGAGAATAGAATTGTTATCCAGGAAAAAAAAACCAAAACAAATGGCAAACAAAAACCAACCCACTCTACCATGATATGGACAACAGAGCATGTGATATACTAATTTGTTTGATGGAAAAGTATAGATTGCATGCTAGGACTGCTTTGGCACTTGTCATTTTGCTAAGTCACCTGCCAGGTTAAGCCACTCTAATCACATAACCATGGCAATACTGCTGGCGTCAACGTGAAGAACTGATTTGTGCCACCAGTAAGGACTGGGCACCTTAGAGCTCTAACTGGAACTGTTAGGAAATAAATATGTAAAATAGGAATAAAAGGTTCCTTTAGTGTGTTTAGTGTTTTGCTTCAGGCAATATTTGTTAACAGCAGGCCACCCTGTTTTTCCAGCTAAGAGAACATGGTTGTGAGCACTGAAATAGATAACAAACTGCTGGTAAATAACTGCTGGTTGATTCTCCTCTGCTGCTTTGCTTTTTGTGCTTCGATGGGAAACAACTGCTCCAGTTTTAGCAGGCAGTGCTACCCTATGTTTCTGCTCTGCTGAGGTAAACCGGCAACTTGCAGCAATAATTGCATAAAATCTGAAAATAAGAGAAACCCAACAAAATTTGAAAGTTTTAATTAGGTTCTATAAAGATGGTCAGAGAGTTGGTCAAAGTGTTGCTTCCATATATTATACCTTTTATTCCTATCCCTTGGTTGTTTTCCAAATGCTTTTCCCACACACACCTTTCCAGTCCCTCTCACGCTTGCCTTTCATATGCCCCTCAGTTATGTGTTTTCCTAACGCCTTTAATTTGCAGCTACACTGCTCCACAAGTAATGAGTTTTTTTTTTTTTTTTTTTCCAGAGAGGCAATGATCTGATGATATACTGTCTCCAGCATCAGTGCTGGCTTAATTAATTTCTGCCCCTATGTCAACAAGGTGCAGGACTGGAACGTGAATCAGACCAGAAAAGGGATCCATTTCAAAGTAAAAACTTCAGCATTCCTTCTCTCCAATTTCCCTTTCTTCAGCCAGGTGCCTGGTTCACACAGCAGTCCCACAAGCATAAGCATATGTAAACATAATTAAAGGAATGCCTCAGTGAATTTTATAGAGGGTGGAACACAGTACTGATTATTTCTGATTTTGTGGCCAGATGAGGGAAAAAGATAAACTCATAAAATCTGTATTCACTCTCCAAGCCAAAAGCCTCATTTTCAGGAGAAGAAAAAGGGAGTCCTTAATGACCTCTCTACACATTTTTATTCTGTATCTACTTTGGTTTGCTTACTAGTAGCATTACTTGATGTATTATTTTAGTGATAAATTATTTTCATTCATGGCATCTTATTTTACTGGTCTGAGTGTCAGTTGATGCAGGTAGCTCAAATTGTTGCACTCTGCTGTGGCCCAGTTGTTGCCAATTTTTCTTCATTCTCTCAATTTTTTATGGTCCTCCTCCACAGCTTTTTCTTCTAATCCCTTATTCCTCCATTTTCCCCCCTTTTGGTAATTTTTCATGGTGACTGCCAGTTTTCAGTGGTTCACTAATCTGCCAAACAGCACGGTGCTTTCTGGAGTACATTTGTGTCCTCCAGACTGGCAACTATTGGACTCTGTACAGGACAGTTGCTGCATTAACACATATATTGGCTTTTGTATTAAATCACAATTTTTTGTAGGCTGTGAAAAAAGTGAAGTTATGATTTTGTATTGAAATAAAGGAATGAAAACTTTTAAAACAACTGTGGCAAGCAGGAGCTCTCTTGAGGATGTGGGACTTTGAATATTTTTTAGTCTGTGAAGCTCCTAATTCTGTTCTTATGGTCCCATTTCTGTATGGACTCCATTTGAAATGTCTTAGCTAGTTAGGATAAATATGCAAGTAAGGGAAGTTCCAAGTGTATCCTTACCAATAGTGAGAAATTGTTCAGGGCTCTAGCATTTCTGTTTCTTTTCATTCTTCATCTTGGAGAACAGGAAAATTTAATCAAAAAGAAGAAAAATAATATGCTGCTTTTAATAACTTAAAATTTGTAAGGCTGCTTTAAGGATGATTCTGTAATTTTGTAATCCCCTTGTTAATAATGCAGTTACTCAGAAAATACGGCCCAGTTCTCTCTTGAAAGCAGATTTAAAACCTACCATGAAGATCAGATGATTCACATTCTTTTGGTTTGTTGTGTTTTGGTAACAGGCAGGAAAGAAGGAGCACAAAGGACAGAACAACCAAAATCAACAGATACAGAAGAGATACGTAAATAAATAAATAAGAATTAGAAAATAAAGGAACTGAATCACTCATAAGTGAAGGTCAGCAAACAGCATGCCCAGTTATTGCACTTGATTGTTAGAAGCATTTATTTTCCTGATCCTTGAAAGTTCTTACGAAATTTAGTTATCTTTCCAAACTCTACTGCTTTGGGCCTGCAGACTACAGGGGAAGAGCAGTGGCAGGCAGAAGCTGCCACATCTGAATAAAAAAGATGCCTAACAGTATATTTCCCTGCTAGGAAATAACAAAGAAGCATTCTTGCCTGTTTAGTGGGTATTAAATCATGGATAGAAAGTCAACTGCTTATCTGGAGCCTGGCATAGATTTCCAATAACTCGCTTTTCCTCAAGCACAAACAAACGATGACACTTGAGGAAAACCACAGAGTGAATCTTTTATAATCCAAAAATAACCTTTTCAGATTTCCATGAGAAAACAGCACTTATTTATTTAGTCTTTTTCTCTCACCTTGCAATTAAGTCAAGTGCTGACACAGATTACTGTGTCATTTATGCCCCAACTGTTCAATAGAGATGATGTCTTCTAGTATTGTAGATATACAAACAACTTTTAATAGCAAACCCAATATACAGAATTCCTACACAGCCACATACACGTGGTGTGTAGGTAATAGGTAGTGCATTTAATAGGCTGACACTGTAGTCACTGTTTTGCTGCACAGCTGTGCTCTCCAGTCTAATCTGTGTTTATAGTTAAGGACATATCCTGTTCATGTACTATGCAGGATGATAGTGTCTGTGCCTGTGTGGCTCTGACAGGCTGATCTACAGGCTTCCATTACTTTGGTGTTTGGGGCGTTGCTGTCCTACTCTAGAGAACTTGGCTTAGTTTTAACAGGGATGTCCATGCAGCTGGACAGGCAACCCTACAATGTTCCATCCATCCCCACCCTGCAGGTTCTTTACATCCTGATGAAAGCTCCCTGACACTTTGTGAGGTATCCTCTTGTATGGCACTTACTCCACAAGGCCTTTAGCCTCCACAGTAAAACTGCTGTCCCTAACTTGTCTATTGTATATAGGCCACCATTTCTTAGCATGCAGCCAGCCCTTACATGAGCAGCTCTGCCCAGTAGTGCTGACCTTAATTTTATTGAGACAAGCTTTCAACTTGAAAGCTGGGTAAGCATGAGGGAAGCAGAAGCCTGCAGAGAGGACCACACATTCCCTATCTGCTTTCTTCCTATTTGAGGGCAGTGTTCTGTCCTGTACATTGAGGGACTGTATGGACAACAGCTGACCTCCAGCAGTGTCTCCATTGTCACTGAGCTTTGTCCAGTTGCATCACGTGTACTGATTTCAGACACCAGGTGACAGTCAATGGGCCACTAACTTTTCCGTGTAACACCACATTCATGCTGCTGGGATAGGAGCTCTCAGGAAGCAGCAAGCTTTGGCTGTCCCACAAGAGAAGAAAGCCAGGAGCTGAGGGCAGTAGCAGGGCAGATAGGGCAACAATCCCACCCAGGAACACATAGTCCCACAGTACCTGAGCAGGTGCCATACTGGGGAGCAGGGTAAGGCAGTATTCAAGGTTACCAGACATGTCTGCAGTGGTGGAGCAGGTGTGACGTCAAGTCAGCAAATCAAACCAGTGGTTCAGGATCAGCAAGGCACATGGACAGGCACAGGCAGACCTAAGACAAGTCTCAAGGATGGAAGCCTGAGCTTCAATGCAATTCCCAAGCAAAGAGTGGGAGGCCCCCATGAGGCTTCCCATAGCCCCTCCTCACACAGCTCTGTCCCCGACACCCTGATCCAAGTCTACAGCTTCACTGTATCAGAGCTGCAATGGAGGATGGGCAACCAAGCCCCAGGGAGTGGGGAAGGGACTGCAGAGCCTCTTGGTGCACTCAAAACTGACAACAACATGCTTAGTTCCAGATTTTCATCCAGTCCAGAAGGTATCAGTCTCTTAAAAGTAATCTTGTTAGGGACAAGGCACAGCTGTTCAGGGCTGAGATGTTTACTGCAGCCCAGTAAAGTCTGCAAAGCCATATGCTGTTTGATCCTCTGCTCCCTGGCTATTTACCAAGTCAGCGTCCAGAGGGGCAATAGGTTGAGCTGTGCCAGAATGGCTGACAAACACCAGCCCTTCTGCTGGCCCACAAGGGGCCCTGAAAGCATCATAATTATATGGAATTACATTCTGCACTACTTAGTGATTCATCATACCCTAGTGATCATTGCAGTGGTTCATCTGCACTTTCAGGTCTGAACTGCTGAGATTTTGATAGGCAGCCATGCACAGAGCCAACAACAGCATCATCGTGCCATATATAAATGCCCCATCCTGACAGCCAGAGTGCCTCGCCGAGTGTGACGCTGTCTTTTTGACTGGCATAATGCCAGTGTGAACTATATCTTTAAGGTGCTTGACATACACTTAGTGATTTTCAGGACAAAGTGGGGAGTGTGGTCAAACTGAAGGGTTCCAGAAGAGGACAGTCAGGTGACAAATCAATTAGAGCAGCCTGACAAAAATGTTAGTCTTGGCCTTTAGTGAAAATTCTCTCTCCTTGCAACACCACCTTAACAACAGTCTGTGGCTATAGGTGATGGTATTATGCCCAAGACTTCATAATCCTTTACCATTTCCATGTAGGATATGTACTTGCTGTTTGTCTTTCCTCCATCCTGCTTCTTTCCAAGCCTCTCTCCTTCCTCTCCCCCATGAAGAAAATCTTTAGTTCTGTAACTCTCCCTTCTTCTTATTAGTCTGTGAAAAGTTAATCTCTTTTCTAGCTGCCATATAAGAAAGACTGTGTGCTGAGTACTGTCCTTCACATAAATCATACACAATATTTTAGCTGACATGCAACAATACAGGTAGAAAAGCTAATCCTTCTGACTGCAGTCAAATCAGTTTAGGACCCAGTCCATCACAGACCATGGAGAGGCCACCACTTTTGTTCAAACTCCAGCACACTCCTAGAAATAGTGACCAGAAGGAAAGGCCCTTTCCATTCAGTGCCCAGTAACTTTCAGCTCCAGATCCAGGATAAGGATAATCTGCTTTTATGTTCAGTAAGCAGACCTGTTCCCTTCAGATAACGCAATGAAGAAAGCATATTTTATGGAAGACAGAAATTGAGACCAAAACAGACTTGCTGCTGCTGTGGGGACCTCCTATTATACCTGGTATTCAGGGTCTTCATCCCAATGTTGGTGCTTTCAGCACATCAGGTTGGGATGAAAGATGCCATAACTCATGATGAGTGTTACAGGTTTCTGCTCTTGCTCATTTCTGGAAAGTGCGGTCAAAAGTTTCAGCTCCCCAGTTTTGTGAGCCTACTGTTAACCAAGAGAATTGAGCCTGGAACTGGCAGGAGATGAAGGGAGTAAGGATGAATCAATTCAATGAATCAAGGAGCCTACAGGGCTGCTTCAAAACCTGGCTCTTGCTGTCTTGTGCTGAGTGCTAGTTCTGTTAGAACTGTCTCACCAGAGGTGCTTGAGTAGACCAATCCTTTCAGGTATTTAAAATTACAGAACATTGTGAAATAACCTCTTTGGCACAGATTAAGCTGTCCTAGGGCACATGGGCAGCAGTCAAACAGAACTGCATTTTAGGCAGTTTGGACAGAAGAAGTCCATGTGAATTTTGTGGACAGTGATGCACTGATTCATCTGGAGCAACAAGCATTTTCCAGAGAAAGCTCTGAAGGCATAGAGCCCCTTACAGGAGTGCAGAAGTTTAGATTGGTCCCTGTACAGCCCCAGGTACTTTGGTGCTCATTACCTTCAGCAACGTCGCTTATTCTAAAGGTGATCGATACAGAGAATATACTCTAAGAATGTTTTATCACAAACAGCTGGTACTGAGGGTCTTAGCTGCAGGTTTCTGACTGTCTGGCAGGCACTGCATCACCTTTTGTTTTACAGTGGAACTAATTGCTCACCTCGGTTCAGCACAGCCAGCAGCAGCTACAAACTACAAAGCTCAGGCAGTGCCCTCTGTGAGCAGAGAAACATCCACTAATGGGGACTTCTCCTGTACAAAAGGAGGCACATGTGAATACATACACAAACACATCTCAGCTTGCATATAATTAATTTGTTAGAGCAGATGCCTGCAGACCTTTAAGAAGCATATACATTTTCTTTATAATAGATGGTGTTTAGTGCCATGAGGTGCAACAGCTAGCCCTATGCCAGCATAAACTGCTGGTATAATTGCCTGGTGACTTTAATGAAGATTTAAGTAAGCAAAACCTTCCATGTCTTAAACTAACACTAGGCAATGCAAAAGGTCTGTAATTCTCATTATCTTCTCCTAGGTCATACTCCATCCCTTACTAATTGGCTCTATGGGCATCCCATTTTGAGTTACAATATTTACAACCTTATCTTGATAATCTAATGTGCAGACAGGTCAGACTCCAAATGCAAGTTCTTTTTATTCCCATTTCTTTTGCATCATAAGTTCTGAACTGAAACCACACTTATCTGCTAGTGCTTTTCCATGTCAGTGGCTGTTACTGCTGCAACATGGGTGTGACTTGGCCACTGACATTTCAGTGTGACTCTTCTGCTTTAGGGTATTCCTCGTCACTAATTCAAGAGTTTCTTTTGTATAGACATACAGTAGGTCTGTTTCGGGGCTCTTGGGTGGGCTAGTTCTCTTCTAGTTCTATTCCTTTTGCAGCTTATGAGCGTATGCTCACCTGGAGCCTTGTCATGACATAGGACTGCACAACCTCTGATAATCCACTTTCCCAAATAATAATGCTCCCTCTGCTATTTTTTTGTGGTTATTTAATGACCACAAGGATTAACACTTTCCTATGGCTACATTCATTATTTTGAGATTTTGTTGGCAGAAATCCCATGTTAGTCTTCCATTTTTAAGCTGCCTTTTTTTTTAAAATTTTATTTTAGGTTTATGTTAATGCTCATGACCAAGAAAGCTTCAAGAATATATATAGCATTATGCATTGTTCAGTTGAATAATATAGGTTTTATTTCCTTCATCTGTGTCAAGATTTATTATCAATTATCAACTTATAGATATACGTGTTTTCTTAAAATTAGCATCTACACAGGCCACACCATACCTACTTATGACAAAATTTTTGTCCTAGAGTACATAACCTATAGACACAAAAGAAAATACCATGAATGAGCAGCACAGAGTGTTGTGTGCAAAAATCCTGAGTGATTTGTACTCAGTATGGCAAAGAGAGGTTTTCAGGTAGATCAAACAATGAAACCAAAGAAGACTCAAAAAAACCCTCAACAAAAGCAAATTAAGCTTTGGCTTGAAGATGCTGCATAAAAATTGAAACATCTTGAGGGTGAAAATAACCCATAAAGAAAAGACCACCTTTAATAGACAAACACAGCAGATAGACAAGTTTCAAAACCTCAGTGCTGAAAAAAAACCATTTGGCATTGATGGGTTACAGAAGTAGCTGGACATGATGCACTAATGCAAATGGTCAGTGTTTTCTGCAGAGCAGCTGACCTCACCTGCAGGCAGAAACCCTGAGCACCCAGGCCTTGATAAGCATTTTCTTAACTCCTGACCTGCCCATGTTCACCTTCTGGCTCTTTCTCTGGATGCTGGAACACAGAGTAAACAGGGCGACGGTGTTCCCACCTCACCTATCACTGGCACCGGAGGGCACTGGGCACTTGTAACAGCAATGATGAAAGAGTGCTATTCTGTTAAAGTATAATTCCCTTTAAAAATACACATAAAACCCTCCCAAAATATTCATATCGGTGCCCAGCATTTTAGGGCAAATCATTAAAGAAAACAACGCAAACAACAAATTGCCAAAAATAAAAGAAACATAGAACCAGTCTTTCAAAAAGAATTATTAATGTTGCGAAAGACCATTAACAATGAGCCCAACCATTAAGGAGCACTGCTAAGTCTACCACTAAACCATGCCCCTAAGCGCCACATTACAGCTTTTCTGAATACTTGCACGGACAGGAATCCCACCACTTCCCTGGGCAGCCTTTCCAATGCTTCACTCTTTCTGTGAATAAGTTTTTCCTAAAAAGCTTTCTTTTAGGAAAAATAGGAGGTTTAGACATTTAAACCTCCTGTGGCACAACTTGAGGCCATTTCCTGGCCATTTGCATTCATCCTACCATTTGTCACTTGGTAGAAGAGGCCGACCCCCACCTGGCTACGAGCTCCTTTCAGGAAGCTGTCAAGAGCGAGAAGGTGTTCCCGAGCCTCCTCCTCTCCCGGCCAAACATTCCCAGTTCCCGCAGCTGCTCCTCATCTGACGTGTGCTCCAGACCCTTCTAAAAATCCCTCCTCGCCCGCAGCACGCGTTTGAGGGCCCGAAGGAGAGCCTTTTCCAGAACAACGCTACTGTCAATAATGCTATCCATAGCCGGAACGCGTTTAAGCAAGCCCTTCCGACACTGCACGGCGGCAGGAGCCAGCCGCCGGAGCGGGGCCGGCGCTCCCCGGCCGCGCTGCCCTCACTGCTTCCCTTCCCCGCCATGGCGGCAGCGGCTTCCAAGCAGCCGCCGGTCGCGGGCTTTGTTCGTCTCTGCCTGCGCCGCCCCCGCCCCTTCCTTCCCTCCGCTCCCTCCCTCTCCCCTTCCCTCCCTCCCTCCCCTGGCCGGCCCGAGCGCCCGGAGAGGCCCGCGGGGCGAGGGAACGAGCGGGCCCCGCGTCCCTCCTCCCCTGCGAGCGAGTGCCGGGGGTCTCCGCAGCGCCCGCGGCCCCGAGTGCGGCGGGGGAGGCGCCATGGCCGAGCGGGCGCGGGCGGCGCTCTCCGAGTCGGGCTGGTAAGTGGGGCCGAGCTCGGCCGCGCCGCCGCCTCCGCCCGGGGTGCGGGGCGGGCAGCGCCCGTGTCCGAGCCGTGCGGTGCGGGGGATGTGCCGCCCCAGCTCCGCTGGGAGCCCCTCGGCGCCGGGCAGGGGCTGCGCCGCCCGCTGCGCTCGGGCCTGGCGCTGGCTCGCCCTGGAGAGCAGCTCCCGGCCCGTCCCGCCGGCCCTGCCGCGAGGACCGGCACCCCTACCCCGCGGCCACCCCCGAGGTTCCTCGGGATCGGCGGCGGCCTCCCCGCCTGCCCCGGGACTGGCCTCGCCCGCAGGCCTGGCGCCTGCCCGTACTGCTGGGGCTGTAAACTGCACCGTGCGCCCCTTCTGTAAGGCAGGCAAGAAGCAAAAGTGGAGTTAAGGTGGGGTAAATGAACCACACGTGAGGCTTGAACTCGGTTGCTTATGTTTTCTTAAGAGTCCCAGTCGCTGGGCACACAATATCCATTTTGGAACAACGTGTTTCAACGAGTTGTGCTTTTCAAATACCTACTGTAAACGCTTATTTGCTAGCCTACAGCTGAGATTGCATTGTAGGAAGTTTTTATTTTGATTTGGGGCTTTTTTGTTTGTTTGTTTGATTATTTTGTTGAAGTGATTCACTTATTAGTCAATACTGACTTTTTCCCATAACTACTTGGAAAGTCTTTCGACAAACCTAAAGTTTAGTGCTGCCTGCTAAAGCACAAAGCAATGTACGCAAAGTTATTTCCAATGGCATGTTTGAGATATTTCTGGTTTACTGTTTACATTAGTGGTTGTCCTAGATTGTGGTTTCATGTATGTCTAAGATGGAAAAAATTAAAGTGGGTATCCTGTGATTTAGAATAGAACAAGACAATTTACTTAGAAGGGACCTATGATGATCATCTAGTCAAGTCACTTGATGAATTCAGGGCTGACCAAATCTTGGTATGTTATTAAGGACACTGGCCAAATTCCTCTTAAACATTTGACTGCCACCCTAGGAAACCTCTTCCAGTGTTTGACTATGCCCTCAGTATAAAGAAATGCTTCCTTATATCCAATTTGAACGCTCTCTGGCACAGCTCTGAACCATCCCTGTTCATCTGGTCACTAGATCCAGGCAGAATCTGTCTTTGCTTCCCCCACTCAGGAGGCTGTAGAAAGCAGAGGTTTGCCCCTCAGCCTCCTGTTCTCCTATCGAGACAAGCCAAAGTCTTCAGCTGCTCCTCACAGGACATGCCACCAGCTTTGTTGCCCTCCTCCACATTTAAGGACCTTCATGTAGCTTTCCAGTTTTTTGCACAGTAGTCCAGGTAAGGCCCCACCAGTGCTGAATAAGTGGGAATCACCTCCTTTAACCCCCTGGTGATGCTGTGTTTGTTGGGCCAGCTTTTGCTACTTTGTGGTAATAGTAACCAAACAGAGTAATTAGGTGTCCTTTGCTATGCCTCTTGAATAAGTGTATCAAGAGCCAAAACATTGTTCTAAATGGTTCTGGAGAGCACAGTCCTATGACTCCTGGCTATTGCCAAATTGATACAATCAAAACTAGTTCTGCTACTTTTTATAACATTTGCTTATTTGACGGGAATTTTGGACTGTGACTTGAAACTTGCCCCTCTACTCTTCTGTTATGTAGACCTCTCCAAAATTGGAAAAGTTTTCCATAAAAGTAGTTTTATTTTCTTAGTTTTCTTTTCTTGCTTTCTATTGCCTATTCAAAATTTTTTCCCAGTTTTCAGCTCTTGAGTTGTTTTGCTGCCTTTTCAGCTGAATGCATGCCATTGCTTAATGGCTTTCAAGTTTTTGGCAGTACAAATATGAGGTGCCTCTGAAACAATCTGTCCCTTTGCAGTGTTTGCTGCCCTCCTTGGTGGCAGAGACTTTTGAATGGCTGTCAACAGTTGTTACTCTTGCAGTCCTGTAGGGTGGGAGCCAGAGGCTGAAGTTGAAGGGGCAAGTAATGGGCTCATTATCAGGTCCACTGGAATTATGCCTTGACCAGGTTGTATTGGGAAAGGTAGTATAAAAGGGGAGGAATTAATACATATACTTTTGAGGAATGTGAAGTGGAGTGGAAAAATAAATAATGATTTGGAAATCTTGCTTAGCTGTGTTCATGCACTTAAAAAAAGAGTAGTAACCTGAGCACCCATGTTTCTAACTGCTTTGCTGTTGCTCTTATGATTTTTCTCATATTATTAGATCTTAGAGTTATTTACACATCTGTGAGTGAGCCTTCAGTGATGTTTAATGTCGGTTTAGTGTTGGTGATTAAGTAAAGTTTTGTACCAAATTGGTGGTTACTGCTGCTGTCACCTGCTGTCAGAATGATAATATTTCTAGTACAAAAGAAAAACTGAGTTTATGTGTTAAAATCTATCCGCACTTAAACTGCAAAAGCACTGCATGGCATGTCAAGTAAAAAATCTTTGCTTAGCTTAAAATCTGCTAGCTTGTAAAAATCTACCTGTACTGTGGATTTTACAGTAAGTTTCTTATACATTACAGAATTAGAGAGTTAAGGTAGACACTTGTTTATTTCAGTTTCTGCAACTAGTGTTTACCTTTTATAATTCTGAATGAAAAATAAAGTTATTTTTCAAGTAGAACAGTAATAAAGTGTAGTTAATACTGAACAGTAATTATAGATCTATTCCCCTCCCCCAAGCAGGTATTGTCAGAGTAATCTGTTATAAAATTGTCTCTGAATTTGTAATGTTTGCCTTCAGTATATCAATTACATTTTTTGTCAGCTTCTGAAAGGTAAAGGAGCCCTACCTAGTAAGCATAACAGTGGTAGGTAAAGCTGGGAGACATTTTTTTCTTTTTATGATGATGGTGGTATTTTATGAAAATGAGTAAAAGGCTCCTGTAGTTTGTGTGCGGAATTGTAGTTTTTTTCTCAAGACAGAGCCCTTTTTGGTGCTCGTTCTTTTTGTTATGCACTGAACTTTTTGTTATGCACTGCACTCGTTCCTTGGAATGAGATATTGGCTCCAGCTAGGGGAGAGATAAGGTGTTTGTATTATGTGTCAGTGAAAAAGATATTCTTCTCTTGGAACAGAAGTTCTGTATTAACTTTTTATTTAATTATCAAACTTGAGGAACGCCGAGTGGCAGAATTACCTTTTTGTATTGTTATAGTTACATTAATAAATTTCAGAACCAGTTTTCCAGTGTTCTTATTAAAATATGGGCCTTAATGGAGCATGAATTAGTGAATCCAGTTTTATTACTAGAAGTGTCGTGCAGAAGAACTGCTGAATACATCCCCTTATGTAAATAATAAGTTGTAAAGCACTTCTTACTGGCTTGCAACAGAATTTTTGGTGGTGTATTTTTTGGTTTGTTTGTTTTTTAAATTTTCTGGGTGGCATTTCACAAGTGAATATGACAAGCCAAGACCTCTACAGTGTTTGTAGATCTTTGCAGGACTTGGGAATTTATTACACATAGAAATGCCAACCTATTGTCAAAAATGAAAAATATGCCACAGCCTACAGCAGGTTTAGCCTGTGGTTCACAGATCTCGGGTCTGGTGATTGATCTCTGTGGGAAAGAAAGAGGTGCAAACTGGATAAGTAAAGATTTTTTCAGTACTGCTAAATGTACTTGCGAGTTCTTTGTCAACTAGTGGAGATTTTTTTTATTGCACTGTGTGATGCCATAGAAATTAGTGACTTTATGGGAAAAAATACTGTCTTGTAAAACATAATGTATTTTGAAGATTATGTAAACAAAGCTGTGACTATGAAAAGTTACTCCCAGAGATGAAGAGGAAATGGAATTGTACTAGTTGTTTGGAAACTAAAGAATGCTGTGTAATAGTCCCTGAGAAAACCTTTATATTAATGTCATTGTGGTTGTATATTCTTTGTAAGTGAAAAATATCAAGTTGATGTACAACAGACTTTTAAACTGAATTTTTGGTATTTCACTGAGTGAGTGATGTGCTGCATACTGGGTAGCTCTGGGTTTAAGATTGGTTTGTTCACATGTACCCTCTTGTAGGACTAATCATCTGATATGATCCAAGCTCCAAAGCAAAAGTAGGTGTATGCCTGGAAACACAAGGAAGTTCTCAAAGGGATGAATCTTAACACCATTTTCTGAGAGCACAGCAGGCATTTGGCAAAGTAGTCAGTTCCAGAATTCTGCAAGATTATCTGCTTTTCCCTTGTGTTTTTTTTGCTATTCCAATAAAATGTTTTTGGAAATCACAGCTGAAATTGGTTCCTGCATATTGAGCAAGCTCAGGCAGGAGACAAGATTTTCCTTAGACACAAGCATAATACACATCTCATGTTTCACAGGAGAGATACATCTGTTTTGAGATTCTTGAGACTTCTTTTGTGATGTGCAAATTCTTGTGATGTTTGATTAGTACCATAAAATCTCAAAATGCCAGTATAAAACAAAATGCCACATCATTGCATTTTTTTTATTTGTTTAGGTGTATCCCTTACTGGCTGATCTGATTGGTTTACATTCCTTCTGGGTCACCAGTAATTGGTAGCTAGAACCTGAATTCTTCATGTCATTTTCACTCTGGAGGAGTGCAAAAGGTCCAGCATTTTGCATTCTGTTAAGGGGAAGCAGCACCAAGAAACTAATTCAGATGCTATTTTTTTTTTCCTTCTTTTTAAAGAAGATGAGAGATGTTT